TCAAGAAATATAAAGTTCGTCTGTAATTCACCCTTTTGTAAATCAATTCAAATAAATAGAAATAATAAAGACATGTGTTAATTTTAGTCAGTGCATTTACCCTTTACTTGCCCGGCAACCCCACATAACATCTAGTGGGTTTTATTGTTCTACGTTAATTATTGCACGTTTGGCTGACTAGTCAAATTGTGGGATTATTTTCCGAACAACACTCTTGTTTTATGTTAGCACTAGCGCTTTATTCATTTGAGTTTATTTTAACGGAATTTAGAAAATAGCGTCACTATTTCTTTCTTAGATTATTTACTTAGTTGATTATTACGTATGTATACTACTACAGTGAGTAATAACTGTAGAGAAAAGCTTGAAGATAAATAGTGCGCTTGTTATAATGACTGTGTAATTGACTGAGGCAAGACTGAATTTCTGCTCATAAGCGCAGCCCTTAAATAATATCGTACTATTCCATAACGCCGGTGATTGTTGCCATGACGATATTGGTCGTGTCGTCAACAGAGCATAGTCTGGAACGTTCGTTGCTGTTGTTTTGTTTAAATAACTGAATTGCGCATTCATACCTCTCCCACTTTCGCCTTTTAACTTTTTAATCCGTAACGACTATCACTATTAATTCTTTATGTAATTGATGATATCTATCAATTGGACAGAAGTTTCCATTTGTTTGAAGTTTTCAATTTTACAATTAATATTATCGCAGTCTGCGAGTACCAAAAGCAATGTTTCTGCATTAAATATAAATATAATAATTTTTCCGTAATATATTCAGCAACAAAATACGATACAATCTTATATATAAGAATCAGAGTTTACACTTAGAATTATGTATATATACCACCATCATACCAATCCATCAAAATATAAAAATCAGTAGTTAAAAAATAATTAGGGATGTGATTAAAAATTATAGGTAAATAGTTTAAATGTAAAACTTTTTTTTGAGATATTTTCCATTAAAAAACAAAGTAATCAACAAGCAACTATTTAGTTAATGGATCACTAAAGCTAAATTATCTGATAACAAGTATCAAAATATGTATCGACATTACCAGATATCCCAACGTTGTATTTGTTTATACGGTAGATTGGCCTGTAAAAAAATAACATAAGTATCTTTTCACGAATATATCCCATCTTTGATGTAATCGATAAGTTTAAAATAATCTTAAATAGTTATTTAATAATATATATATATATATATATATATATATATATATATAGTAAATAATTTTAAAGATGAAGTTATAAAGTTTTAGATTAGTAAACAAAGTACTTGCTACTCGTATATTATAGAAAATACGAATCTATTTATTCACCGAAAACTGGACCATCATACTGCTAGGCCATCATAAGTTTTGACAGATTGTAAGAAATGGCGATTACGGCAAGATGAATTGATCAGATGTCCTGATAACAATAGATCTCCGAATAAACGGTCATATTTTCAAAGCCAATGTTAGGATAAAAAATCGCAAAAAATTTTAAATAAATGTTGAACTTAGAATTTAATGAAATAGGTATTCGCGGAAATAATTTAAAGTTACCTTAACGAATATATAGCAAATTTGGTTGAATTAGTTTCAGATTTCACTAAAAAGCAATATTAACAAAAAGAGTTAAATAAAAACAAAGAAGTTCTGTTAAATTCAGTTCTTATCCCTTGTTTTATAATCCCGCAACATATGATTCTCAACACTTATATTCAAAAACATCACTTTATTATATTCATTTTGAAATTTTGAGAAAGCAAGGAAGGTAAACGTATTATATGCTGTAATAATTTTTTTAATTATACATTGTATTAAAGCTTTAAAAAGAGATGTATAATATATGTATACGTAGAAAATGTTTGTTATATTAATAAAAGTTTTTAAATTATTTTTATATTATATTATATTAGTAATCACTAATCACCTAGAACTTTGGTGATAACATGTCAATTTCTGTTGTTTGCTAGTAAATGGATTTGATTAATTTAGAATTAATTTTTACGTTATTTAATACTACATTCACTACTCTTTATTTAAATCAATTTAAATAAAAAATGATAAGGAAAATATATGCATTGAAAATATGCGTATTTTTGGTGAATTTGTTACAAATTATAAGATATCGTAAACACAATTTACATCTTAAATATCGTATGTCCTTTTTAGTAGATTGCTAGTTTTTAAAAATTTGACTAGCAATATTAAAAAAGATTTAACATATGTGATTAGAAAATGAAGGCGGATAAATTTATTAATAGTAGCCGACGTATTAGTTATAAGAAACCTGATAAAATCACAGTTTTATAACTTGTTAAATGATGAACTAAATCTTGCAAATTATTTTAAAATATATTTTTTTATTATTTGCAATGGACTACCTGATTAGTTTTTTAATCTACAATCTTTTTTAGCATACTTTTTTCTATTGATACAAATCAATTCCGTTTTATAATGAAAGAAATTAAAATTCTTAACAAATTTCTTGAAAAAATTAAAACAAAAGTAATGAGAAATTTTCAAAATAATTTTTAAGATAAAATAGTAAGATTAATTTTTAGAATACATAAAATAATTTGATTACGACAAAATTATTTAAAGACAGACTCGATAAACTATAAATTAATATGAAAATGATTATTTACTAATTACTTGTTACCGTTTGCTTAAAACGTTAGCATATTTCATTTATATATGTATATTTACATTACAAAATAAGGGATTTATACATTTTTTAAATATACTTGTAGATAAATATTAATACATATTTTGACTATTATATTTTCATAAAATGGAGAATAATACAGCTTGTCTGGGATCAGACTAAAAACCTCTTTATGATGGTGGGTGGAGGCTTGCTGACAAGTGGAAGGGGCAATGTAATTATTCAATACTGCCTTTAATGTTTATAGTCTTTCCTTTTATTAAATATAATAAATAATGAATAGTTAATAATCTATGAATATCGGAATGAGTGTATGATAGAATGAATAGATGAGTGTTTCTTCATTAATGTTGGTGGCGATAAGTCTGTACGTTTATTCTTGATAGCCCGGAGCGTGATTCCCCTTCTTCCTTTGGGTTGAGTAGTGTAGTGGGAGACTCGTGGTGGTAGGGGCAGCAAGTTAGTGCCGTCTTAGCAGCCGGCGTGGGGTGAGCTGTAGCGTACGGAGTGGTGGGAGAACGTCCGCGTGACGTCACTGCTTGTGTCCGTGACTTCAAAGGTAGTGGTGGTATTTGTGCACGTTCGTGTACTCGATGTGGGCGTAAACCGCGGTGTAGAGGTGAGATGTAAGAACGAGCGTCTGATCGTATCTTACATGAGCTGGCGGGAACCTCGGTGTAAGGGTAAGATGTAAAAACGAGCGTCTGGTCGCATCTTACTTGAGTTGGCAGGAACCGCTGTAGTAGTAATCGTAAGAACGAGCATCGGCGTTACATGCGAACGTAAACCACGAGTGTAGATTGGCGGTTCTGTCGTGATGGGTGCTTGTTAACTAGCAAGAAGGAGTAAGGAACGAGCGTTTGCGTTGCTTACGGAGGCGTGGGTGCCAGTATAGTTGTGGCATTGCTATTAGTTCCTTAAGTTGCTTGATGCTTGCCATGGCCTCCCAATGGCGATGGCAGGGTTGGATAGCGAGCCCGATGTGAAGAGTGCATGATTGGTACTAGTAAGAAGAAATCGCGAGACGTGCAGCCCCTTACATATTCTCGTACGAACTGGCTGCGCCGATAGCGCATCGGTAGCTGTTACTATGCCGCTATTAGTCGTGACGTCAATAGGGCATAGCCTTGTAGGGTTCATTTATTATTACTTCTCGTAATTATAGTCGTATTAGAGTTTTTTGGCTAGAATCATTCTTTGAGTCCGTTGGCCAATGTTTACGAAACAAATGTTCGTGCGCTCACACCTCTTCCACTTTGCATTCCGATTAAAACTGCTGTAATCCGTAACACAGCTAATATATATTTAAATTTCTCTAAATCTGATGATAATAAATGATAAAAATAATAAATAGTAATATTTATATAAATGTGATTGCTTGAAATATAAAACCTTATTAAAAAAGATTTAAAGGGTTATTTATTTTATTATAATGATTTGCAAATATTTGTAATTACCGAACGATTTACATTAAATAAAAGAAGTTATATACAATAATTGATTATTGTTTTAATTATTAATGCGAGCAATTTTCGATGTATAGTACAGTGAATATAAAAATTTACAAATATACAATATTTTTAAATTCTTTTATAGCGACGTATTCGTGAGTGGTCCTGAATGGTGTGGTTGTTTTTCAAAAGCTGAAAGACCATGTGCAGTAATGCGTAGACGAGCATCTCCTGAGGTCACACCAAATTGTGATTCAAGAGGCTATTATCAAAGTACACAGTGTCATCAAAGATTGAATCTATGCTGGTGCGTCGATCAGCATGGTATTGAATTCGCCGGTACACGTACACGAGGCTTGAAACCTAACTGTGGTAAATATACATGAATACATCAATAATATTTCATTACTTTCTAAATATATTTTTGCTATTTGATAATTAATATTAAATGAAAACCGTATGTATGCAAAAGAAAATGAGATCTCAATGAAAATAATATTTCAAATTAAACTTTAAACTTTAAACTAAATAAAAAAGATAAAAAATTTAATAATAACAATGGAAAACTTTTTAAATAATTTATTTTTAGTAATTTTATCATATATGATATGAAATTTTATATATCGAATTAACAATATTAATCAAGGCCATAAATAATAAATTCTATGAATATTTTTCTTATGAATTCTTATGAATATTTAAGTTATGAACTTATATATTTTGGAGTTTAAAAATACATGTAATTTAATGTAGAAAGATAAGATCAGTTAATGCTGCCATATATTTCAAAATATATATATATTACTTGTTCGGGATTGAAGCAGTCCCATGAATTTCAAACAAAAGAAAGGTCATTTGCGCAGTCCGGCGTACCGCATGTGCGCCTAGACTGACCGCGCGTGCAGCAAGGCTGGCCACCACGTGCGCCTAGGCTGATCCGCACGTGCGGACCGAGGCGGGCACTCGAGAAAATGTTTACAAACAAAACTCGGCAAGTCCGAGCAAGTTTATGATTTGAAATATTATTTACTGCCAGCACTCACAAAAAAGGGACGCCTTCGAAACTTCTAGAAGCTTCGTTTTCTCACGCCAAAGGAAAATTTCTGGAAGGGACGCGCATCGACACTGTTGCCGGCGCTGAAGACGCCGCATGCACATTTAAGCGCAACGCGCCATGAGGCGAAGCTCATTCGTAAATTCACTCCGCTCTCAATCAAGCGTAACTGCCGGTCAGTGCAAGTATACTGTAAAGACGCCGCGTGCCCACATTTTCGACAACATAAGCTCATTCGTAAAATCACTTCGCTCTCCATCAAGCGTAACTGCCGGTCAGTGCAAGTATACTGTAAAGACGCCGCGTGCCCACATTTTCGACAACATAAGCTCATTCGTAAAATCACTTCGCTCTCCATCAAGCGTAACTGCCGGTCAGTGCATAGTATACTGTAAAGACGCCGCGTGGCCACATTTTCGACAACATA